GCTGGCTGGCGATGGTAGTCCTCCACGTTAGCGCGCGCGTCGACCGAGTTCCCACCGGCGCGCGCCGCCGCGGCGCGCGCGCGGCCGTCTCTGGCGCTGCGTGCGCTCGCAGAGGGTAACGTCGCGGACGACCCAAGTAGGGAATCATGCGAGTCGCTGGCCATCGGCGCGCTACCGCGCGCTGCGCGGGGCGCGGCGCCCGCCCCGCGTCGCAGGGGCCAAGTGGCGTCGCCCAGCACTAGCCGAGGCCATTGCAAGAACAAGGCTGCCAGGACAGCGGGTGAGCTCGAGCGCGCCGGGCCCCGCGCCATATAGGCCGCGCGCGCGCCCTTCGAGGGGTCGGCTCCGCAGCGCGGCCTGGCGCGTCCTTGCACCTTGCATCCTGTCCTTTTCGGTGCACGAGGGTGCCATTCATGCGATATTCGCTAATAGTGGCGTCTTCTCGCTACGGGATTTCAAGGGAATGCGCGGCGTCAGTGAGTTGCAAGGCTTCGAAGACTCCGCAGTTGAGGTTCAGGCCGAGTTGAGCTTCCGGCAGCGCGCCGCGCCCCCGCCAGGCGCCTCTCCCACTTCGGTAAACGCCTGGGCGCGGCGGGCCGCGGCCTTGCCCCCCGCCCGCCCGCGGCTGCAGCGGCGCCGCCTGGCGACCGCGCCGCGCGTCTAATTCTGTCGGGCGCTCGCCGGGCGCTCGGCCCCTCGCGGGCGCCGCCCGCGCCCAGGGCGGCCCCCGGGCGAGCTTCGCGAGAGGCACCCCGGGCGCGGGGGCGCCAGGGTCTATTCGGCGCGACTTGAAGCGCGCTCGTACCCTGGCGATTATTGGCGCGGCCCCGCGCTCGTTCGGGGCCTGGCGAACTGCGCCCAGGGCTTGGATGTCGTTCGCAACGCGCCGCTTGCATGCTGCGCTGCGCTGCCGCGGAGCTCGGAGGCGCTCTGCCGCTGCGCACTTAATTCCGGACTTCCAGAACCTTCGGGAATCAGAAGTGTGAGCACGCCAATGCGCTCTGGCTTTTGGGCCGCGACGCCGCCGTGCTCGCGGGCTCGGCGGCGCGGCGGGCGCGCGAAGCTATCGCGAGGAGGCGCCCGACGCTGAGACCAAGCTTTTCGCGTCGCTCTCACATCTCCTGGCCGTGCTTGATTTCGCCCGGGAAGATCTTTTCTTGCGCGCCCTCCTTGTGCTCGCGCGGGGATTCGCACTGCGCGCCCTCTGAAGCCCTGCTCATCGAGCGTGGAGACCAGGTTTTAGTTCGTAGACGCGGATTTACGCAACCCAGTAGCACGCGTCTTGTTTTTCGCGACGACCGACACGGCCACGCTGCATTTTTCCACGGTCAAGAACCGCGACAGGCCAACGGTCGCCCGGCGCACCTGCTGGCGCGCCAGCCCCCCGGCCAAGCTGTGAACGCGCCCGAGTTTCCGTCGACGGGGCCCGCGCGGGCGAAGTTGCCTTCCCGCGCCTCTGGCGGATTGGCTCCTGGCGAGTCACGTCGCCGGCCGTTTCAATCGCGCGGGCCATCAGGGCAGCGGCGATGCGCGCCCGCGCCCCCGGCGGGGCGTCGTTCACTAGCAAGGCCTTTTCGGCGTCGGCGCGCTGAAAAGAGAGGCGTTGCCGGGGTCGGCCGCGCGAAATCTTGCGCGGCGCGGATTGGTCACCGCCGGCGTTCCGATAGTACCTCGACGTGACTCGTAATGAATGCGAGGCGACCTCCGAGGCGGCGCCCACCGCGGCCAGCAGAAGCGCACCAAGCGGCGTCGCGTTGCCCACGGGTTCGGACGTGCAAGTCCGGCAACTGTCGAGGGCGCCCTCGCTGCGCGCCCCGGCCTCGGCCAGTCTCCCTGTCGCGTCAGCTGCGCCTGTTGGGTGGCGCCACGACCGGGGCGCCTGGCCGCCTGTCGTTGGGCGGTTGCATCCATCCCCTGTCGCGGCACTTGTTGGCGAAACCTCGGCGTCGCGCTGGATGGCCGACCGTGGGGTCGCGGTTGGCGCGCCGCGCCCAATGCAGGTGCGATCGCTCGCTGGGCTGGACGTCCTCGAAGGGCCGACCTCGTCCGATTTCGGTGGCCCGCGCGAGCGCAGGTTGGGCGCGGGGGCGCGATCGGAGGGGGGGGGGGGGGCCCGCGTCCGCGAACGCGCGCGGCTGGCGAGGCGCGAGTCCACCGTTGTCGCCTCAGGCGAGCCCAGGGCGCGATCCGCGAGCGCGGGCGCGCAGGCTAGACACCGAGCGCCGGGCGCAAATTGCGGCCCCAGGCGCGCCGCAGCGCCGCGGCGCCGGGAGCCGCGCGCGCGCCGCGCCCGACCGCGCGGCAGGTGGGGCCGCAGGCGCGGCGCGCCCCGATCTCTGCCCGCGCGCCGCCTCGCCGCGCTGCAGGCGCTGAGTTCGTTGGCGAGGGCGGCGCGACGGCGACAGCGCGCTGCGCGGGCCAGTCGGGCGGCGGCATCCAGGCGCCCCTGTCGCGGCGCCCCGGCCGGCGAAACCCGCGTCGCGCAGGAAGGCCCTCCGCG